CCACAAGAACCTAGTGATTCCAGCCATGAAAGCCTTCGACAATACACTCCATGACTGCCACAACCCTCATCCACATCTCAGAAAGCACCCCCCTAACTCTAAATCCCAGCCTCCTGGTGCCACATTTTTGTCCGCCCCTTTCCTTCAAGGGCCACTCCACCCTCAGGACAACCTTGGACCTGATGCTAAATCTTCCTTTAAACCAGGAGGAAACTGTAAAGCCCATCCTCCTGGGTTGGGGTTAAGCAAACAGGTCTGGAGAGTACAAAATCCTGAAGGGCAGCTCCACTCTGAGTCTCTAAAAATAACATTTTATACCTCCAACTTTTGGAGGAACTACAAATTCCAAGAATTGCCCCCCCAAAAAACACCCTCATATTTTCTTCTTCTTTTTACCCCATGCAAACTCTTCCTCTACCACAGTAGTTCTCAACCTGTGGTTCGCCAGATGTTTTGGCCTTCAACTCCCAGAAATCCCAACAGTTAGTAAACTGGGACTGTGGCGCAGCTGGCTGGGAGTCAGCTGCATTAAGATCACTACTGACTGGAAGGTCATGAGTTCGAAGTGAGCTCCCGACCAAAATTGTGTAATCACCTCTCAACAAAAGATTGCCCCAGGCACTAACAAGCTACACCAAACACCTGCCAGGCCATCAAATGCTAATCAAAATGGTCAGTTGAAACATTCAGACCTAGCTCCAATAGACAAGAGTTCTTTGTCCCATCATAGTCATTCCATAGTTATATAAACCCATTTTCCTAGTTCCAACAGACCTCACGACTAGGCTTGGGCGGTTTCGTTCGTTAATTTCGTAATTCGTTATTAATTCGTATTTAAATTAGCTTATGATCCAATATCGAGCCATGCAGGAATAGTGTGAGGAGTAATTAAGAATCGAAACAATTTTTCCAATTTTCGTAATTATTTCGTAATTATTTTTGTAATATAATATAATATAAAATATATAATACAATATATTATAATAATATAATATACAATAATATAATATAATATAATAATATTATAATAATATAATATATAATATAATAATATAATATATTATAATAATATTATAATAATATAATATATATAATATAATAATATATAACATAATATATAATATATATAATGTAATATAATATAATATAGTTGTTGTTTGTTTTATCACACCAACAGTCAACAACAGAGGGAGAGGGAAGCTTCAGAAGTTCCCCCTGTCCCATTTGGAGGTTTTTTTAGCATATTGCGCAATCGCGTCCGCCATTAACGAATCGATTCGTAATTTTACGAAATTTCATAAATTTTGAAATTTTTTAAAGAAAAATTCGAATTCTTTAAAAAAACTTAACGCAATGGGCCCCTAAAAACGAAACGAGTTTAGAAACAAATTTTTCCGTTGTTACCCAAGCCAACTCACTACCTCTGAGGATGCTTGCCATAGGTGCAGGCGAAACGTCAGGAGAGAATGCCTCTAGAACATGGCCATATAGCCCGAAAAAAACCTACAACCCCCCAGTGATTCCGGCCATGAAAGCCTTCGACAATACAAAATTGTGTAGCTTGTTGTTGACCTTTGCAACCTGAAAGACAGTTGCAGCTTTCAAATAGGGAATTTAGGCACCACTTACGTGGGAAGGCTAATTTAACTGATTTACAAGACCATAAAAAAATCTCCAGGAAGTATGCAAAGAATGAGGAAGTACTTCATCAGAGTCACAGACGGGCAGTGAAGCGACAGCTCCCCTGGTGGCAGAAGCTGGAATGTTAAATTGCCCCTGTGTTCTGTCTATATATGTTGCGTGTCTATGGCATTGAATGTTTGCCATGTATATGTACATTGTAATCCGCCCTGAGTCCCCTGAGAGGTGAGAAGGGCGGAATATAAATACTGTAAGTAAATAAATAATAGGCCAAAACACCTGGGGACCCACAGGTTGCGAACCACTGCTCTGAGTATTATTATAATAATAATAATAATAATAATAATAATAATAATAATAATAATAATGTATTTCTAAGGCTTTCATGGCCGGAATCACTGGGTTGTTGTAGGTTTTTCCGGGCTATATGGCTATGTTCTAGAGGCATTTTCTCCTGACATTTCGCCTGCATCTATGGCAAGCATCCTCACTACCTCTGAAGATGCTTGCCATAGATGCAGGCGAAACGTCAGGAGAAAATATGCCTCTAGAACATGGCCATATAGCCCGGAAAAACCTACAACCACCAGGTAAGGTAAATGTTTTCCCCTGACATTAAGTCCAGTTGTGTCCGACTCTGGGGACAGTGCTCATTTCTATTTCTAAGCCGAAGAGCCGGCGTTGTCCACAGACACCTCCAAGGTCATGTGGACGCATGACTGCATGGAGCGCATTACCTTCCCGCCGGAGCGGTACCTATGGATCTACTCACATTTGCATGTTTTCGAACTGCTAGGTTGGCAGAAGCTGGGGCTAACAGCGAGAGCTCACCCGCTCCCCAGATTTGAACCTGCGTCCTTTTGATCAGCAAGTTCAGCAGCTCAGCGGTTTAACCCACTGAGCCACCTGGGACTCCAATAATAATAATAATAATAATAATAACAACAACACATATAATAATAGTAATATTTTCTACCTCCAACTCTTGGAGGGGAACTATAACCCCCAGAACCCTTTAAAAGAAAAAGAAAACACCCTGGAATCTTTTCCACCCCCTTTTCCCATGCAACCTCTTCCTCTATTAGTATTATATTTTCTAATTATTGGGGGAACTGTAACTCCCAATCCTCCCCCAAAAGAATATCCCTGAATTTTTTCTTCTTCTTTTTCCGCTAATTAATAATAAATTATTATTATTTAATTAATAATATTTTCTATCTCCAACTCATGGGAGAACTATAATTCCCAGAACTCCCTTAAAAAAAGAGAGAGAACTCCCTGGAATCTTTTTCATCCCCTTCTATAAGTATAATAATAGTATATAATTTTTCTACCTTGAATTCTTGGGAGGGGAACTATAACTCCCAGAACCCCCTTTAAAAAAAAGAGAGAACTCACTGGAATCTTTTCCACCCTCTTTCCCTATGCAATTGCTTCCTCTATTATTATATTTTCTAACTCTTGGGGTAACTGTAACTCCCAATTCTCCCCCAAAATAAACTCCCTGAATTATTTTCCTCTTCTTTTTCCGCTATAATAATTATTAACTAATAATATTTTCTATCTCCAACTCATGGGATAACTATAACTTCCAGAACCCCCTTAAAAAGAGAGAGAACTCCCTGGAATCTTTTTCTTCCTTTCCCCCCATCCAAATTCTTCTTCTATAAATATAATAACAATAATATATAATATTTTCGATCTCCAACTCATGGTACGAAACTATAACTCCCAGAACCCCCCTTAAAAAAGAATCCCTCTGGAATGTTTTTCTTCCTCATCCCCCATGCAACCTCTTCCTCTGTCACTATCTCTACGTCTTAGGAAAACTATAACTCCCAATCCCCCCCAAAAGAATCTCCCTGGATTTTTTCTTCTTCTTTTCCCTTTTCCTCTATTATTATTACTATTATATTTTCTACCTCCAACTCATGGGAGAACTATAACTCCCAGAACTCCCTCCCCCTGGGGGTTAAAGAAAACTCACTGGAATCTTTTCCTTCCTCTTCCCCCATGCAACATCTACGTCTATTATTACTACAGTTCCTATCTCTAAATCCTGGGAAAACTATAACTCCCAGGCTTCCCCCAGAAGAATCTCCCTGGATTTTTTCTTCTTCCTCCTCTATTATTATTATTATTTAATATATTCTACCTCCAGCTGGTCCCTGAACTATAAGTCCCAGAACCCCCCCCCCCCCCTTTAACAAGAAAAGAAAACTCCCTGGAATATTTTTCTTCCTTTTCTCCCATGCAACCTCTACCTCTATTATTATTATTATTATTATTATTATTACCATCATCATTATTATTACAGCTCCTATCTCTAACACTTGGGAAAACTATAACTCCCACTCTTCCCCCAAAAGAATCTCCCTGGAATTTTTCTTCTTCTTCTTCCTCTATAATAATAGTTAATAATAATAATTTAATAATATATTCCACCTCCAGCACATGGGAGAACTATAACTCCCAGAACCCCCCTTAAAAAGACAGAGAACTCCCTGGAATCTTTTTCGTCCTCTTTCACCATGCAACCTCTTCCTCTATTATTATTATTATATTTTCTAACTCTTGGGGGAATTATAAATCCCAACCCTCCCCCGACAGAATCTTTCTGGAATTATTATTATTATAGTTTCTAACTTTTGGGAGAACTATAACTCCCAATCCTCCCCAGAAGAAGTGGAATTGTTATATTTTCTAACTCTTGGGGGAACTATAACTCCCAATCCTCCCACAAAAGAATCTCTGTGGAATAATTATTATTATATTTTCCAACTCTTGGGGGAACTATATCTCCCAATCCTCCCCCAAAATTCTCTGTGGAACTATTAGTATTATTATATTTTCTAACTCATGAGGGAACTACAACTCCCAACCCTCCCCCAAAAGAATCTCTGTGGAATTATTACTATATTTTCTAACTCTTGGGGGAACTAGAACTCCCAACCCTCCCCCAAAAGAATCTCTGTGAAATTATTAGTATTATATTTTCTAACTCTTGGGGGAASTATACCTCCCAATTCTCCCCAAAAGAATCTCCGTGGAATAATTATTATATTTTCTAACTCTTGGGGGGAACTATAACTCCCAATCTCTGTAGAATTATTACTATTATTATGTTTTCTAACTCTTGGGGGAACTATAACTCCCAATCCTCCCCCAAAAGAATCTCTGTGGAATTATTATCATTATCTTTGGGAGCTATACTTTCCCCAAGAGGTGGATTCTGGGAGTTGTAGTCTCTCCCCCCCCCCCAATGGCTTCCCTTCCTGCTTTGCCCAAAAGGAAGATGGCGGCGCCGACGTCAACCCAAGCATTACATCCGGGTATTGCAGCTGTTCCCAAGGCCTCACCGGGGCTTCCGGGTGAAGGCGGCGGAGTTCGGCCTTGAGGCGCCTGACACTCCAGGAGCGCCGGGCGGAGAGAGGCAGGTCCTCGTGGCGCTGCGCGGGGCTCCGGACCAGCAGGGAGACCAGGCCCGAGGCCTCGCCGGACTCCATGACGAGGCGACACCCTCTCCTTCTCTCCTCCGCCGCCGGTGACGACAGCGTGAAGTCACGCCCTGGAAGGCCCCTTATATAGACTCCGCTCGGCCCCGCCCCCTCGCTGTTGGCCTTCGCGGATTGGCCAGCGAGGCGGGACGTGGGCCAATCAGCAGCGGAAGGGGCGGGGAAGAAAGAAAGCGGAAGAAGTGGGCGGGGCCAGACCCTCAGCAATGTTGCTGTCCATCTCATTGGGGTAAGTTGACGTTTTGTAGCTCCATTGGATGGCTGGGAAGGTGAGATGGAGATGATTATATTCTATTATTACTAATATATTATTGTAATATATATTATAATATTATGTAATATTATATATATGATATGTAACACTATTAATAACAATATATATATTATATTATATTTCTATTAATAATGTTATATAATATATATAATTAATATTATTGTATGTATTATATTTTATTGGTACTAATATGTTAATATATTTATTTATTTATTTATTTATTTACTCCTTTTGTATACCGCATTTATCAGCCTTACGGCGACTCAATGCGGTTTACAGTAAAAAATATACAACACTGACAATATATAAAACAGACACACACAGACAACACACATATAGTCATCAACGCCTCAAATAGAATCAGATCCCGTTCTCACAGTCGTTTTACCGTTCCTTGTTCATTATGCCGTCTTCCTGAGTTAGTTGTAATTGCATGATTAACTGAACGCCTGTTCAAAGAGCCACGTCTTCACCCTCCTCCGAAACGCCAGTAACGAAGGGGCCTGCCTGATGTCCGCTGGTAGGGCATTCCATAGCCGAGGGGCCACCACCGAGAAGGCCCTGTCTCTCGTCCCCGCCAACCGCACTTGTGATGCTGGCGGGACCGAGAGCAGGGCCTCCCCGGACGATCTTAACGTCCTCGCCGGTTCATAGGTGGAGATGCGTTCGGAGAGGTAAGTGGGGCTAGAACCCTTTAGGGCTTTATAGGCTAAAGCCAGCACTTTGAATTGTGTTCAGTAGCAAATTGGCAGCCAGTGGAGCTGGCGCAACAGAGGAGCTGTATGCTCCCTGGGCGCTGCTCCTGTTAGCAACCTGGCTGCCGCCCGTTGGACCATTTGGAGCTTCCAAACA